AGTCCTTGGGGAAGAGGTGTTTACGGCCCAAACACCAATTGTTTGGCCGTAAACTCCTAGTAAATGTGTTGGTTGCTCGGTTTGTTACACCTTACTAATAACGACACTTTATTTTATTAAATCGTTTGACGAAAAATAAAATAAAATACCAAACGGGCTTAAATCCGGCCAAAAATGTACGGAAATGTTTTTGACTATTATTTGAAGTGTTTGACTGCAGGAATTATACAATTGAAAATTTCGGGTTGTCACAGTTTAGCAAAGCTTCGATAAGCATTCTTTGATTCTTGAGTTCCACAATAGATGTATTCCATGCAATTTAGCAAAGCTCTGATGATCATTGTTTAATTCTTGAGTTCGACAATAGAAATCTATGCAATTTAATAAAGGTTTGAAGAGCAATGTTTAATTCGTGAGTTCCACAATACAAGTCAATGCAATTTAGCAAAGCTTGGATGAGCATTGGTTAATTCGTGAGTTCCACAATAGAAGTAAACTATGAAATTTACCAAAGCTTTGATGAGCATTGTTCCATTCTTGAATTCCACAATTGAATTCTATGCAATTTAGCAAAACTTTGATGAGCACTGTTTAATTCTTAAGTTCCACACTAGAAGTCTACCCAATTTAGAAAAGCTTTAATAAGCATTGTTTAATTCTTGATTTCCACAATAGAAGTATTCTATGGAATTTAGCAAAGATTTGATGAGCATTGTTTAATTCATGAGTTCCACAATAGAAGTCTATGCAATTTGAGCAAAGGTTTGATGATCACTGTTTAATTCGAGAGTTCCACAATAGAAGTCTATGCAATTTTACAAACTTTGATGATCATTGTTTAATTCTTGAGTTCCACAATAGAAGAGTATGCAATTTAGCAAAGCTTTGATGAGCATTGTTTAATTCTTGAATTCCATAATAGAAGTAGTCTTTGCAATTTAGCAAAGATTTGATGAGCATTGTTTAATTCTTGAGTTCTACAATCGACGTGTAAGAAATTTAGGAAAGCGTTGATGAGCATTGTTTAATTCTTGAGTTCCACAATAGAAGTCTACGCAATTTAGCAAAGCTTTGATAAGCATTGTTTGATTCTTGAGCTCCACAATAGATGTATTCCATGCAATTTAGCAAAGCTTTGATCATCATTGTTTAATTCTTGAGTTCCACAATAGAAATCTATGCAATTTAATAAAGGTTTGAAGAGAAATGTTTAATTCATGAATTCCACAATAGAAGTCTATGCAATTTAGCAAAGCTTTCATGAGCAATGTTTGATTCATGAGTTCCACAATAGAAGTCTATGCAATTTAGCAAAGCTTTGATGAGCATTGTTTAAGTCTTGAGTTCCACAATAGAAGTCTACGCAATTTAAGCAAAGGTTGGATGGGCATTGTTTAATTCTTGAGTTCCACAATAGAAGTCTATGCAATTTAGCAAAGCTTTGATGAGCATTGTTTAATTCTTGAGTTCCACATTAGAAGTCTATGAAATTTAGCAAAGCTTTGATGAGCATTGTTTAATTCTTGAGTTCCACAATAGAAGTCTATGTAATTTAGCAAAGCATTGATGAGTATTGTTTAATTCTTGAGTTCCATAATAGAAGTTGTCAATGCAATTTAGCAAAGCTTTCATGAGCATTGTTTAATTCTTGAGTTCTACAATAGAAGTCTATGCGATTTAGCTAAGCTTTGATGAGTATTTTATAATTCTTGAGTTCCACAATAGAAGTCGATGCAATTTAGCAAAGCTTTTATGAGCATTTTTAATTCTTGAGTTCCACAATAAAGTCTGTGCAATTTAAGCAAAGGTTTGATGAGCATTGTTTAATTCATGAGCTCCGCAATAGAAGTCTATGCAATTTAAGCAAAGGTTTGATGAGCATTGTTTAATTCATGAGTTCCACAATAGAAGTCTATGCAATTTAGCAAACCTTTGATGAATATTTCTTAATTCCTGTGTTCCACAATAGGAGTGTATGCAATTTAAGCAAAGGTTCTATGAGCATTATTTAATTCTTGAGTTTCACAATAGAAGTCTATGCAATGTAGCAAAGCTTTCATGAGCATTCTTTAATTCTTGAGTTCCACAATAGAAGTCTATGCAATATAACAAAGCTTTGATAAGCATTGTTTAATTCTTGAGTTCGTCAATAGAAGTCTATGCCATTTAACAAAGCTTTGATGAGCATTGTTTAATTCTTTTTTTTTTTTTGAAAGAGCCAAAGCTCAGCAAACTTTATTAAAAAGAATAAAAGAATACAAAAACAAACGGAAATAAAATAGTCAAACAAAATACAAATCTAACCAACCTATCCATAACCAACTACCAAGCCACTTTTTAATAACCAGACTTAACCACCGAAAAACCCAAAAAACCTTATTATCCTTAAAGCTAGCCCAAAGACTTATTGAAAGTGGGAAAAAAGGTAACTTCACCCCCTTGCACCACCAAAATCCCCAAAGATCATTAATACCTAAGCAAGGGGTAAGGCCCTTCAAAAAACCCACAGTCCAAAGGCCAAGCTTTAAGAAAAAACCCAACAAAACCACAATACTCCCTACACAATACATAACATAGAACCAATAAAAGATACAATTATAACACTCATAATTGCAACTATAAAAAAACCCCATCAATTTATCAATCCCGCATCTTCTGTCACTTCTCCTCTCATCAATCCTCCACTTAGTCTTCAACAGAAAAGACTCCATCTGCTTGCAAACATGATCCAAACCCGACCTTTGCAAAAAATTCCTGCATATCAGGCACAAGCCAAACCACAACAAACTAACACCAAAACTCCAAGAAATCAGAACAAGTTTCATACTAGACATGGCATCAATCACATGTCTAGGATTCTCCATTTGGATAATCTCAATAAAGATCATATCCAAACAGAAAATCCCATAGGTACAAGTCACATGATTTGAGAGCAAACTCTCAAACCAGTAACACAATCCGTCAATTCCTTTGTAAAGAAACTTATTCCAAAAATGCCCCCACCAATCCACAACATTAAGACCACCAAAGCTAAACATCCTTTTATGCCAACCCCAAAACCAATAGCCACCAACCAACAAACTAAAAAGCCAAAAAATAGCACCCATTATTTAAACTTTTTCCATTCCAGAAATACCCCAGGCCTTAAAAACTTTATCATTGACCATCTTATCCTTTTTCCTCAACCCCAACAGCATTAAATGTATTTCACTTTCAATACAAGCAATCAGCCCCTTATACGAATTTCTCCTGTTACTAAAAAGTCTAGAGTTTCTCTCCTTCCAAATATGTGCAACACAACTAGCAAAAACACATTTATTAACCAGATTCTCACCAGAATTCCTTTTAAACAAACTGCACAGCTTCATAATCAATTCATTCCAATCATCCATAAAAAGATTAAGACCCATCTTATTACAAAAATACCTCCAAATAAGTTGAGAATAATCACATTTAAAGAAGAGATGAACATGTGAATCAGGAGTAACAGCACAAAAAGGACAAAGTAAGTTACCAGAAACTTCCCAACCTCTAACACGATCCTAGGTCTTCAATCTATTCAAAATAGCCATCCACAAAATAAACGAATTTCGAGGAATGCAATTACCATACCAAACAATATCATGCCAAGGAACTTGGTCTCCAAAATTATTTATATCACACCACACCTGTTTGCATGAAAATTGTTTACATATTCCTTTCTTGTCTCTCCAACCTACAACATCCCTCAGATTAGGCTCAATATAAAACATGGGAGCATCCTTCAATCCAGGGAATATATTAACCCACTAAACCGGCCAAGTATAGCAATCATAGACTAGAACATCACTGACCAAGGAAGAATCACTAAACCCATTGCTAACCCAATCTCTTCTAGATATAATAGAACATAAAATACCAATTGGGTGCCACCAATCATGCCAGAGAGAAGTATTCATCCCGTTTCCCACACACGAAACAACATGGGGCCTAACAATTTTTCTCACCTCAAGGAACCTCTTCCAAGTCCAGCTCATACTCTTCTTCTGCAAAATATCCCAAAAATTCCTGTTTCCAATGTAATTGGATTTCACCCACTGAACCCACAGAGAATTTTTGCTATTAATCACATTCCACACATGTTTAGCTAACAAAGCATCATTCCATTTCCTTAAATTCTTCACTCCTAAACCACCATAAATTTTCGGCTTACAAATATCATTCCACTTGACTTTAGCTTTCCCTTTAACTACCTCACCATTCGCCCACAAGAAACTTCTACAAAGCTTTTCAATCTCTTTAATAGTAGCAATGGGAATTTTAAAAATCGAAGCCCAATACACATGAATAGATGTCAAAACAGAATTAATGAGCTGCAGCCTTCCAGCAAACGATAAAGCCTTGCTTTTCCAATTGAAAATTCTCATCTTAATCTTCTCAATAAGCTGTTTACAATCTCTATCAAATAATTTTGTAACACACATAGGAATTCCCAAATACTTAAAAGGAAATCTCCCAATATCAAAAGGAAGAATGCCCAAGATAATCCTTCTCATATTGGGTTTAACACAACTGAAGAAAATCTGGCTTTTTTCCATGCTCACCTTCAACCCTGAAACTTTTTTGAACTCATCAAGAGCATCCCTTATAACTCTAGCAGAATTCCCATTTCCATAAGAAAAAACTAACAAATCATCAGCAAAGCAAAAAATGAGTAATTTTAAGGGACATACACTTACTATGAAACTTAAAATTCTGGCCAGCTTCAATTTTCTTCAAAAGGATGATATTAAACACCTCCATAACTATAGTAAATAGGTAAGGAGATAGAGGATCACCCTGCCTAAGACCCCTCTTTCCTTCATAATACCCATGATCTTCACCATTAAAGTTAAGCATGAACCGAGGAGTAGAAACACAAGCCATAATCCACTGAATCATTATTGTATGAAAACCAAACCCCTGCAGAATTCTACTAAGAATATTCCAATCCACCGTATCATATGCCTTTTGAATATCAATCTTTATGGTGCATTTGGGAACTCCCCTCTTATTTTTATACCCCACCATCAGCTCCTGAGCAAGGAGAATATCATCCACAATAGATCTTCCAGGAATGAAAGCTGATTGATTTTGCTCACAATATCACCCAAACTATTTCTAATTCTGTTCACTATAATCTTACTAATACACTTATATAAACTGTTACAGCAGGCTATAGGACGGAAATCAGAAACTTTCCTCGGGAACTCCACTTTAGGAACCAGCACTATTCTCGTAGCATTAATCCCCTTCAACAATTTACTAGTCCAAAAAAATTCCCTCACAGCTTTACACACCTCCGGCCCAACAATGTTCCAAGAACTTTTAAAAAAAAATTGGAGGAGTACCCATCAGGTCCAAGGGCACGATTTTCATCAATATCAAACATCGCCACTTTGATTTCTTCATCAGTCACCACTCTAATCATATTAGCAGCCACCCTACTATCCAATTTATTATGAAAGAAACCATCATTTAAACACGAAAACTCAGTAACATCTTTACAACCCAAAAACTTATTGAAATGAGTAACAAATTTATCCTTCATAGCCTTCCCACTAACCCATCTTCCATCTTCATCAATAACCATCAGAATACGATTTCTATTGCCCCTGCTCTTCACAGTTCTATGAAAAAACTTTGTATTATTGTCCCCTTCCTGTAACCAATTTATCTTAGATCTCTGGAAAAGAAGCTTTTCTTCATCATTACAAGCAACATTAAAATCAAAAAGAATATTAGTATGCTCCTCCCTAATCTTACAATTAAAAGGATTAAGATCAATTTCAGATTGTTTACTTTCCAACTCCTTTCTTAACATTTGGATTCTCTTCCCAGAACCCCTGTGCTTATTGCAAAGCTCCCTACAATGCTTTTTAAGAATCTTCAACTTTTGGCACACTTTGAACATAAAAAAGCCTTCAATATTAGCATCCCAAACTTCCTTAACCAGGGGTAAGAACTCCACCTTTTCAGTGATAAAATTAGCAAACCTAAAAGAAGGTTTCCATCTCAATTTGCCAACAGGAACATTTAAAATAGCAGGACAATGATCTGACACCCCTATAAGGTTTAAAAACAACATGAGCTAAAGGATGATCCGAAACAAATTTCAAATTGGCCATCACCCTATCTAACTTCTTCAAAAGGCCCTTATTCCCAGCAGGAGTTTTATTCCAAGTAAACTGAAACCCAGAGGAATTCAGATCCTCAACTTCAATAAAGTTTATACAGTCAATAAAATCATCAACTCCTTTAGGCGTTTTGGAACAACCTTCAGAATATTCCGATGGTTTTAAAGCAACATTAAAATCACCTAATATTCCCCATGCTTCCTTCTTAACAACCAAACTATGTTTCTTCAAATTATCCCATAATAACCTTCTCTCAAGATAATTCGAAGCAGCATATATAAAAGACAAATACATGCTATAATTGGAATCACAGAATCTAACATAACAGTGAATAACTTGTCTAGACTGAGAAATCACCATCACATCAAAAAGTCTTGGATTCCATCCAACAATTATTCTAGTTCCAGCCTCACAGCTACTATTATTAGAAACCCAATCCCATTGACCAAAGGTCTTAACACAAACATTCTTAAGATTTAAGACCTTGACATGAGACTCCACCACAGCACATATACCAAGGTTATTACTCCTAATAACATCAATAACCTCCTTCTGCTTAATAGCTTTATTCAAGCCCCTGACATTCCATACCCCTATAGACATCATTGAGAAATAATAGAGTTTTTGGCATTTACCTCCTCAAATGCCTGAGAAATCCCATCTTTGCTTTTACTATTCCCCTGAACCATCATACTATTCGTCATTTTATTACTTTCATTCCCTACATTACCCTTCCCAACAAACTTAGAAGGATCCAACTTATTATTCATTATTCCAACAACATCAGAAGAATAATCAACACAATCACCTTCCTGATAACCATCAACTTTGCCTCCCTTAGCATCCTCTTCCATTTTTATCCATAACTTCCTCATCAATCCTTCCCAGGATTTCAAAACTATTTTTAATACTGCAACCATCACTAGAAACAGTCTTATTTTCTAGACACTTGTTAACACCCACTTTTATGTTATCATCCTTTATAGCATTCCCCTGCATCTTATTCTCCATTTTCCCCTGATTACCAACCAAAGCCTGACCATTAACAAACTTCTCATATCTTCTATTCTTTTCCAAATTCCAATGACCCACCCCTTTATTATTGCAATTCCCATTCTGTCCCCTTCCATTACCACCTCTATTCCCATAATTGCCTCTGAAATTATTTCCCATTATCCCCATTCTTTACCACTTTCTCTTCATTCAAAGCTGCCAAACAAACTTTATCCGTATGCCCATAAACCTTACAGTGATTACATCTAGAAGGCATCCAAGCATACTCCACATCAAAACTCTGAACCACAGCAGAATTAGTAACAAAATCCCAAGTAGAAACCTCAATTTTCCTCATCCATTCCTTATCAGCCGCCATTTCAACAAGAATTCGAGCATAAACGTTTCTACCCTTGTGTTCCAAACACATCTCCTCAGTAAAAGAATCAAAAGCCAGAGGCACCCCCAACTTACTCGCTATAATACACAAATTCTCTCCACTCCATACTTCCAAAGGTAAATCAAAGATTTTGATCCACACCGGAATTTTATCATGACTATTCTTGGTTAATTTCAGACCTGGTCTCCACCTTTGAAGAAATAATGGCATATTATTGAACATCAACCATGGGCTTCCCTCCAATATAGATAACATCCCCTGCTCATCACTAAATTTAAAAAAAAGAAAAACCCTTTACTGTTCATGAATATCTCTTCTAGACCCACATTCTTCCGCCAAAATTTCCAAATTGGGCCCAAACCGCTTACATAGGCCTTACCCTAAAGCCCAACCAATCTCCTAGTCAAAACACTTATACTCAGATAGCCCATTAATAACCCAAACACTCAAGCCCAAAAGAAAGCCCAAACTTGAAGCCGAAATGCAAAATCACATCTGACTGAGTACCCCCCTGCATACTTAGTAGGTACGCTAAGTGTACGCTAAGTGTATGCCCCCGCATACGAGGAGGTACGCCCCACTTACCGACCCTTCTCATTACCAATCTAGAAAATAACTTAATCGCTTAATCCAAAACGTCCAATGCTCGGATCTAGATCCAAAACATGCCTTAATCCATAAAGTTGTTAACTTTAAGCTTTTGCATGGCTCAATGGGTCCCAAATCTAATTTCTTACTTTCCAACTTCATTAAAAAGGCTAAACCACTTGCATGAGTTGATATCAACTATCAAGATCACATTTTTATTCATTTGGGACACCTAAAACGTCCAAATCTAAGTCTAACTCTTAGGGAGAGCTCAAACTCATAAATACAAACCAAAGGGACCAAAAACCTGATGGGTTTTGAGCACTATAACATCCCTATGGTGCACATACGATCCTAATGCTTTGGATCTAAGTTTTCTCAAGTTATACATGCAATTTCGTTTTATCCAAAGCATATATCCTAGCTAGCATGCAATTGGAGATATACAACATAAAAACTAGTTAGATGAATACCTCTTTGTTGTAGCTTGTAGTTCTTGGCCTTCCAAGAGCTTAGTACTTCAAGTGTGATACCTCTAATATGTCACAAAACACCAAAAGCAAAAGGAGGCTTATTAGAGAGAGGTTAGGAGGCACCAAAATCAGCTAGGATTTCATTTTAGAACACCAATCACGATTTTGGAGTGCAAGGGTTAGTATTTATAGTGTGGAATTCCTAGGGTTTCATACATAAAACCCTAATTTACTTAAACCTTTAAGTATTCCAATGATCCATATGATAGGCCCTAGGGGTGAGCATGGTGCGGTTCGGTGCGCTTTTTGAAAAAAACTGCAACCGCAAATTGCGGTTTTTAAAACCAAAAATTGCGGTTTTGATTCGGTTCGGTTTTGCGGTTATTTTTGCGGTTTTGCGGTTATTTCGATGTGGTTTCGGTTTTTAACCACAAAATGAGGTGTTACGGTTTTTTGGTTAAAAGGGTGCGGTTTTTCATGTTCAAAACAAAAAATTTAGTCAACTTTCATTTATTTCTAGATTTTCATTGCAAATAAATCACAATTTTGGTCCATTTTTATTCTTTCAAGTTGCATTTTATTAAGCGGAGTTGTACCGAAATTGAATTTTCCGTGCATACGAGAAAAGAGTCCAGCCGAGCATATTTCATTTCATTCAAACAATTAACAATATGTCTAACACTTACTGACAACCATTTACACACCAAAAACTAAAGGAAACGACGAATGAGTGAGAAACGAATTGATTCAATTTTTTGGAGTCCCACTTCGTCAATGAAAGATGCGCATTCCTTCGATTAGCTAATTTATTTTTATTAATTAAATATAATTATTATAAATATTTAAATAATATATTAAATTATGCGGTTTGCAGTTATTTCGGTTAATTTGGTGCGGTTATTAAACATAAAACCGAACCGCACCGCAAATTTTCGGTTTTTTAAAATTAAAAACCGCACCATCGGTTTTTGTTTCGGTTCCGGTTATTCGACTTCGGTTTATGCGGTCATTTTTGTTTTTTTGTGTTTCGGTTCGGTTTCCGCTCACCCCTAATAGGCCCTTTGGACTAACTCTTCATGGACTCTCACATAGATTTAGCCCATCCCTAATCAACATGGATCATTAGTCCAAACTATAAGTATTACTGATTTACCTAATCAGTCCCTGCAAATTTAATCAGTCTCTTTTGATCACTAAATTAATTCCAAATTAATTCTTGATCAATACCAATTAAATAATATGATTTCTCAATTAATATATCATTCATATAATATATTAATAAATAACAAATAACCTCTTCCTCAAATCTCCATCCTATCAAATTGCTCTAGTGAATGCAACCCAAAAGGACCATGCTACTATCAGGTCAAGTACATACCAATTATAGTTATGGGCTTAGACACCTAATCCAACAGTCTCCCACTTGGATAAGTCTAATAACTATAAATGCCAATGTAGCTTCAAAATCCGATTAGCAATCATAGCTCTCAAAAGCCGTTGTCGAACTCTGATCAAATCAATGACGCGTCCTTTAGATAAGGGATCAAATATTCCTCCATTCTACAAGATATCGTATGGACATGAGACATGGATTATAATCATTCTTTCTGTCTATGTGTTGCTTCCCGATTTTCGATTTATGACGAGTGACTATAATTGAACACATCAATTTAGTCCAGGCTTGACCAAGCACTTAGGGGTGTCATCACTAAATCATCGAGGGGCCCACAGATATCATTTTTATCCTCTTAGGATAAAAGGAACGGATAAACTTTGACTCATATGCTTGTACTATTTACTCATCAAATCACACACAACAATACGTTTTATAACATCAAGTTACTGATGCGTTTACGTATTATCAATGTGCACCCGACTTGTAAACAACAACTCATATCTCTCTGTTTCAAGAATATAAGATATTATCATCTCACAATCACTCATGATAAAATCCATGAAGTGATTCAGATGAGCGTGGGTTTAATCCAATACTCAAATCGTATTTCAGAAGTACTCATGAACACTGTAGCAAACTTGTGCTATGTCTAAACACTTAGACAATCTACAGTCGAATCCATGACAGTCTTACCACACTACTTACTTCCATAGTATGATTAACCGTAGATGTTTGAATAATCTTATTATTCAGGAAGTAAAACATGCGAAGTGAAACACAAGAATAAAATAATCAAATATGGTCTCAAAACTTTTGAATATAAATAAAACACTTATTATTTAATCACCATAATGATTAGACTTTATTCATTGTATAATGTTTCAAACAATCAACCTAATACTTGAATTAAAACAATAGTCATCTCATGCTCCAAGCATGCACACTATGTTTATGTATGGTCCTTACTTTGTGAAATAGATCAATTGAACACATTTCTAATGATGTTCATTTCACAATTCCATATCCTTATCACAAGTGTAAGAATACCAGATTCTTGCCACTACTAGAATCTGTTCGAGTCTAAACTTACATGCAATGATCCCTTTTGTAACGTCTAGGCACAAAGTCACAAAGACTTGGCCAATGATATTACAAAGTATTCCACTGGAGATTGGTAACAAAACAATTCCATGGAAGCAAAGTATGAAATTCAAAGTACATTCCTTTGAACATCCTTCTTGCATAAAAGTTTCTAACTTACTCATAGATTCTTAATATCCAACTCCCATTATGGAAACATTTCCATAATTGCCATATGACTATCCATTCTAAATAGATTCCTATCTATTCAGAATTATATCAATATGGTCCATCCATTACTGTACTTCCAACTGTTCACAAGCGACCAATCCTTAGCGAACCTTAGATCATCCTTGACAGTTGTTTAACTACTTTAGTCATATCAAGTTCTATTTCTTTTTTTTCCTCTTAATGCCCTAGACATTTGGAAAAATTAGAACATGTGAATATTATAGCATATGCAATCGATCCTATACCCGAAGCATATGGAACACGATTCATAATGTATTACATAAAGACATGATCCCATGACCAGTCTCTTGCTATAATATTTCCATATGTAGAATTTCCCATATTGAAACATTTCAACATGACATTCTTATATATCCATGACTAATTTCGATTAATACTTCAATCTAAACTTTTAGATTCGAAATAAAGCATAAGTATCCTCTCCCTTACTATAGTAAAACAACTTTTCAAACTTTGCAAACTTTGCAAGTCAAAACTTTGTTTCCTTGCAACACTCAACGTAATAATTATGCTCCCACTAGAATAATAATTACATTCTCACAAGCATAACACTTATACTCCCACTGGCTTTTGACATGTATTCAAAAACTAGTTGGACTTCTAGAAATCAATACTTATTGACTTTCTTACCAAAGTTCAAATTTCTGATACGTGGCGCTTTGAAAAATCTTT